AGGGTGGAGCCTCATGCCTAGCCTTTCAACAAGGTTCCCAAGGAGTGGCAGTTTACCTTCTTCCAGGTGAAGAGAACAACATTTATATGCAGCGTTATCTGAGAAACTCAAAAATATTGTGAAAATATTTTCAACGCCCAGAAGCTCTTACTCATCTTTTCATCAGTTTCCTTTTCATGTCTAGAACACTGGGCTAAGGAAGGGAGGGAAGAGAATAAGAGGTGGGAACCCACGGATGCTGTGACAGTTCTTAAAGACTTGTGCTAGGTGTGATGCCGTGTGCATCCCCACCACCACGGTGGGCCAGTGTTACCAAAATGTCCATCCCTCGCTAACGTTTTCTCACTCATTTGTCACTTTGTTTATTCTGTTTTGTTTGTTGTCCGTCTCCTCCGACCAGAAAGTAAAATCCCTGGACAGAGGAGTGTCTTTCTTGTTTAACCACGGAGTCTCTGTGAAAGGCCATGCACACCTCCACTGGCTTGCTCTCTGGTGAATCGGATGGGATAGGGCTTAAAAACATCAAGCACAGTCCAGTGTAGGGCATTGTTTTTACACTGTTGCTTTAGCTGGCTCTCCACTAGCTGAGCCCTGTGCTCTCCAGACGTTTATCCAAAAGCGTCACTGGGGAAAGAGTCGGGCAATCAGCCGTTTCCAGTTGGCCAGGTCTTCTAGGGCTTTCACTGAACTGTTGGGCTTTCTGACCTCTGTTTCCCACAGGAGGCCTGGAGACCCTGTAGGTCTCACAGAGTTCCAGTAGGATTTATTCAGGAGGTGCCTTTGCTATTTAATGTTGATAATGAACCCCTCACTTCCACTGGAGAGCCAGTGTACATGGAGGTACCCACAACAGATTGAATTCCTCAAAGGTGACTGAACCAATACACAACCCATCCCATACACTCAGGCAGTACGATCAACACATCTGCAAAGTGGGGTGGGGCGGGGAGGACCACGTTCCCTCCCCTCAAGCCAGGGCAGACCTTGGTGACTGCCTTGGCCAGCAGAACACAGCAGAACACAGTGGAAAGGGTGCCACAGTCCTGCCAAGGCCAGGGCATAAAGGCATACAGCTCTGCCTGGCTCTCTCTCTGTCTTGAGGTGGTCACACTTAGCAGCTGGTCACCCAGGCCATGTGGGGGTGAGAGTCCCCCACCCAGGCCATGTGGGGGTGAGAGTCACATGGGTGTGTCCTGGCCCACAGCCCCAGCTGGGCCCCCAGCTAACAGCCAACATCAACGACCAGATATGAGAGTTGTGAGCCTTCGGATGATTTCAACACCCAACCTTTGAGTTTTCCATCTGAGACCCCAGGAGGCACAGAGCAGAGACAGGCCACCCCTGCTGTGCCCTAACTGAATTCCTGATGCACAGAAACTGTCCTAAATAATAGAGGATAATCATTGAGGCCACTAAGTTTTGGGGTCATTTGTTAGGCGGCAACAGATAACTAATACGCTGCCTTCTCGAGACCACACTCTTTTCACTCCCAGCATATGTGCACCTCAATATAAGAAATAATACGGATGGGCGGTCGACCATCTGGCTAGAAGAAGGGTCTAGGGGATTTGTATCGAAGTTATGCGTGCTTCCCGACCACGCTATTTTCACGTGGGGTGACTGAGGTAGGACATGATGGAGACGCTGCTAGTTAGAGTCACTATACCTGTGCAAGCATCTCTGCAATTGAGCAACCCTGTAAGTGCCTTTAGTAGCCCTTCCCTAACTTGGTGAAAGGAATCTGAAGCTCTTCTCATTGATCCCTAAGAAGTGCTAAATAAGCTACTAACTTGAGAACTAGACGTATCCTTGAGTCTATAATGTTATTGGGGTCCCCAGTGAATGGAAGTCGACCTACCCTATCCCCACTCCCACCCCCATATGCACTGGACCTCCGATTGTGTCAGTGCTGGAAATGGTGGCAGCTCCACCTTTGGAAGTGCAAGCCATTTAGAGGACTATGAAAAGACAAGCAATGACCGCCAAAGTCTGTGTTACTGTTATACATCTGGAATAAAACAAGAGGGGTGTGGACGACATCATCCTAGCAGTCAAGAAGCCCAGAGAATAATTGGCTTCCAAAAAGTGTTTCCTTAGATGCCCGCAAGTCTCAATGCTAGCGAAGTGGCCGTGGGGATACAGGACTTGACGAAGGACAAGCCGAGAGTGTATCACATTTCTGTAAACCACCGGCCTCCCCCATGTTGGCCTGCACACACTGAGCAGTGGGCTCGGAAAGCTTGCTCCCCTCTGAGTCTTTTCTCAGGAAAGTAGCAAGACTTTTCCGAAGGAGTCAAAACGTATGGAAAAAATGGATTAGAAACAAAACAGCTTTGGAGAAGGCATAGAAATAATGGAGCCGTGTCTTATTTGTCAAGCTTGCTTCCTTGAGGACACCTTGCTTGTTCCTTGATGCTCACAGGTTTCCCCTCTGGGTAAGAAGACAATTCTCTCTGGTTCACCCTTGAATGAACTGCAGGAAAAAATGTCTGGGGTGGCAAGTGTCAGGCTGATGTAAGGGGAGTAGATAAATGAGAAATGCAGGGTTACACCCTTTCCAGGGAATGTTTGAAAATGTATCATCGTTCCTGAAAATCTATGAACTGCTTTCAATGTCTGAGAATGAAGAGGGAAAGTCTAGAGCTCTAAAAAGGGAAAGCGGGTATGTTTAGGGCTAGGGGAGCCTTGCCTTTGTATATTTAAATGGCCATTGTGATCACGGGTACTAGACTTTTTTTTTCTCTATGAGAAAGCTGTGGGTTTTGTTTTTTAAAAAAGGGAAGATCATGCCATCTCTAATTTTGTTAGGGGAATAGCCTTTATTATAAGAATACTTGTGAGTTACCTAAAATGGGTATTACAGACTGCAAAATAGGAAATTGATCTTTCTGATAACCTGTTGAGGCATTTCACCTGAGTTTAATCTGATCACTCACTCTAGAGCTGAAAGCTTTTCGCCACTCGGAAAATACAACTCCACAAAACCATTACAGAGGGAGGGGAATGATGCCTGTTCAGTGGACCTACAAAAGACAAAGTCAAATTGGAAAACAAGGAGACAGATAGCCAGGGTCTGTTCTAAACTTTTCAGAGAACAGTGTTTCTGATTCATCAAAATATAGATTCGAATCCAACAAACATTTTTGAGACCTCTTTTGTGCCAAAATTATGTATGTATAATATGTGATTTATATATACGTCATTTATATACATGAGCTATATCTATATGTATATCACACACACACACACACACACACACACACACACACAGATACAACACAAACAAGAAAACAGACTGAGGTGAAGAAAGCTTGCTAACAAGGTAGGATGGATTAAATCCCACAAGTAAGGGAAACCCTCATTACCTCTAGAGATTTGATGAGTATCTTAAAGGTAGAAGATTATCATGCCCTGAAGAATACCAGCCCCAGCTGTGGATTTCAGCCAACCCTGGCCAAGTAAAGCTGTGATGTGTTTTACTCTAGTCGTTTATTGAAAACACAAATCTGCAGCAAGTGTAAATTACAGGAGAATCCAAAACAAATTAATAAGAGGCAGCCAGACCGAGCTCTCCACGGCCTCTCCAGGCTGCAGCACTGATAAGGTACCCGTCTGCGGAGATCGGAGCATCCAGCCACCAGCATTTTCACATCGGCAGCTCCAGGCTGCAGCACTGATAAGGGGCCCGTCTGCGGAGGTCGGACCATCCAGCCACCAGCATTTTCACATCGGCGGCTCCAGGCTGCAGCACTGATAAAGTGCCCTTCTGCGGAGGTCGGACCATCCAGCCACCAGCATTTTCACATCGGCGGCTCCTGACTGCTTCTTGGTTGTCCGGCTTGCCGGACCGGAGACCAGAGTTACGAAAATCTGATTTCTCCTGCCGCCTTCATCCCTAACCTGGGCATCCTGTTTTTCTTCCTGTTCTCTACCAACTGCAGTAAGGAGGTAAAACATGCCCACAGTCAGCCAAACCACAATGAAGTCTGATGGTTGGAAAGTTCTTGGCTGTGAAGTGCTATCCAGGTCCCAAAGGTTATAAAAACCGAGATTTAATGCACAGAAGAGTGGTCAGGACAGAAGGCAGAGTACCACGTTCTTTAGTTACATCCTCCGATGTGATGAGGAAGAAAAAACGGCGAGTTCTTGGAAGCACAAGGGAGGAGTGATTCAATTTGGAACTGGCTACTGGATCCAGTGGAAAAAAAAAATAGGGGAGGGCCTTATACAGAAAGTGTGAAGAATTCCAGGCTGGAGAGAGCGGGGCATTAATCTAAGCATGAGGCCCTTCTGAGCCGGGGCCTCGGTGATGACACAGACCGCATGCCACGAGGCCAGTCCTGCACAGAATCAAACCAAAAGGGAAATAAATTTCTGATGCTTATCATGAGATGCAGCTGATGTGTGAGAGCATGGGTAGTGTGGGAAGAGCGAGCATCAGCTCCGCGAGGGCAGGGATATTCGCTCTACCGAGCAGATCGTGCTGGGTGAGGAAAGAATCAGAAAACAAACCCCATTGCTTCAGGATCTATTCCTATTTCTACAATCACCTTCAAGGAGGCACAAATATATATCACAAAAAATATTGATAGACTATCCGTAAACCCTTTGGGGGCAAAACCTAATTCATTATATTTAATTATAGATAAATATATTTACTTATGTGTATTTACATATGGAAGATATATCAACTCTAGAGAGAGAATCACTGTATCAAAACCACTCTGGGGACTTCCCTGGTGGCGCAGTGGTTAAGAATCTGCCTGCCAACGCAGAGGACACGGGTTCGAGCCCTGGTCCGGGAAGATCCCACATGCCGCGGAGCAACTAAGCCCGTGCACCACAACTGCTGAGCCTGCACTCTAGAGCCCGCGAGCCACAACTGCTGAGCCCGTGTGCCACAACTACTGAAGCCCGGGCGACTAGAGCCCGTGCTCCGCAACAAGAGAAGCAATGAGAAGGCAGTGCACCGCAACGAAGAGCAGCTCCCGCTCGCCACAACTAGAGAAAGCCCGTGTGCAACAACGAAGACCCAACACAGCCAAAAATAAATAAATAAAATAAATTAAAAAAAAAAAAACCACTCTGGCTTGGCCATTTGAATTCCATGGTGCTTCTACTTGTGCTCCTAAGATGATTTGATTTTTTTCAAAGATTTTCCAAGTCTAAAAAGACTAAAATCTTAATTGTTAAAGAAAAGTTCATTATACCTGATGAGAAATTAGGCATTGGGCATCCTTTTCTCTATGTCTCTTTGTCTCTTTTTGTTGTGTACTATCTCTCTCCCTTTTTTCTCTTTTCTCCCTTCTTCTCCCCTCCTCCTGTTCCCACATAAGCCAGATGTCTTTTACTGTCTGCATAATAGAGCAAAACTTGGAGTTCTAACTACAGCCGTCATGGGACACTGAACCACAACATATTGTATGATCAAACTCAATTTTTAGGGATGCTGTCTCCATTTCTTCAGAGGTATTACAATCGTCTGATATTACTATTACACAGGTCTTAGTCAGAGTAAGCATAGAAGACAGTATATAAAAGTTTACACATGAACACAGAAGTGTGCTTTTATGAATATCACTTTATCATAGCTCAATCCTGGGCACTCAAAGTCAAAGAAATTCTCCTCATGACCAGCATGTGGCCAGTGTAGAGGATTTGTGATGAATTAAAATACCTTGGAAATATTAGATAGTTCTTCAGGACAGGTAGATAGAAGAGTGCTGAACTCTCACATAGGTGGGATTTTGGTCCAAAATCAGGATTGCACACGGCAAACCACCTTGCACAGAGGCCTGTGTCACTCCTTCCACTGCTTCAGAGCCACTGAATCCACAATCTCACCTCTGGTCCTGCTTGTCCCTGGGAGGCTGAACATAGTCCCATCAGTAAAAACATTCTTTGTAGAAATAGCCAGGTCATGGAAGCAACCTAAATGTCCAACGAAAGACGAATGGATAAAGAAGATGTGGTATACATATATACAATGGAATATTACTCAGCCATAAAAAGGAATGAAATTGGGTCATTTGTAGAGATGTGGATGGACCTACAGACTGTCATATTGAGTGAAGTAAGTCAGAAAGAGAAAAACAAATATCACATATGAACGCATGTATGTGGAACCTAGAAAAATGGTACAGATGAACTGGTTTGCAGGGCAGAAATAGAGACACAGATGTAGAGAACAGACGTATGGACACCAAGGTGGGTGGGGTGGTGGGGTGAACCGGGAGATTGGGATTGACATCTATACACTAATACGTATAAAATAGATAACTAATGAGAACCTACTGTAGAGCACAGGGAACTTTGCTTCACTTCGATGTGCAGTAGAAACTAACACAACGTTGTAAAACAACTCTACCTCAATAAAAAATAAATTATTTGTAGAGAGATGTAGCCCCCCGGCCCCCACCCAATACCAACTCACCTTGTAAGGCATCTCCTGGATTTTTTCCTTTCCAGAGAATGTAGGGTTGCCAGATAAAATGCAGGATTCCCTGTTAAATATGAATATTGCATAAACAATAATTTTTTAGTATAAATATTTTCCACATATGGCATGGGACATACTTACACCAAGAAATTACTTGGTTATCTGAAATTCTAGTTTAACTGGGCTTCTTTTGGGGTTTTTTCTTGCTACATCTGGCATCCCGAGAAGCATGGCATTTAGCCGAACACACTGTGGGTATTGTTCACCCTTTACTGTACTTCATTCATGTTCTTACTGCAAACCTACCCCAGAGTATAACATATAGAAAAGGTGTGTTGCATCCCACCAGGGCAACTGGAGCAGTGACACTGACCGAGGAAATAAATGGCAAAGGGGCCCTCTGAGAGGAGGGTGTGGGTCTAGGGGGCTGGTGCAGCTGTGTCCTGGGCTGTGCAGACCCTGTGGGAAGGTCCACAGTAGCAGTGACCACGTGGGAGGGCTTGACTGGACCCAGTGCCTCCTCTTAGAGGGGCGACAGGATTTGCCGACCTGGCATCAGTTCTGAGCCCTGTTAAGAAAGAGTCCTGGGCTTCCCTGGTGGCGCAGTGGTTAGGAGTCCACCTGCCGATGCAGAGGACACGGGTTCGTGCCCCGGTCCGGGAAGATCCCACGTGCCGCAGAGCGGCTGGGCCCGTGAGCCATGGCCGCTGAGCCTGCGCGTCCGGAGCCTGTGCTCCACAACGGGAGAGGCCACGACAGTGAGAGGCCCGCGTACCGCAAAAAAAAAAAAGAAAGAAAGAAAGAGTCCTGTTGCACAGGAAGCTATTATATAAGCCAGTTAAATGCTTTCCATATCAGGCATTTATTATTTATGCTGTGACCTTCAACTTTACATTCTATACTCTATCTTATCTAGAAAACCGAATTTTCAGGGAGATGACTCTAGATTATAAGGTAAACGTTGATTTCATTTTCTTGAAATACACGTACTTTTCTAGCTCAAGTTTGTCAATTTTATCTTTTCAAAGAACCAACTTTTGGTTTCATTGATTTTTCTCCATTGTTTTCTATTCTCTACTTTGCTAATTTCCACCCTAATCTTTAGATTGCTATTGTTTTACTGGTGCCTTAAGGTGGAGGGTTAGGTTGTTAATTTGAGATCTTTCTTCTATATTATTATTGGCACTTACAGCTATACATTCCCCTCTAAGCACTACTTTAGCTGCAGTCCATAAGTTCTGGTATGTTGTGTCCTCATTTTTATTCATCTTAAAGTGTTTTCTAATTTTCCTTATGATTTCCTCTAGACTTACTGGTTATTAAGGAGTATTTATTTAATTTCCACATATTCGTGAATTTCCTAAATTTCTTTCTGTTATTGACCCCTAATTTCTTTCCATTGTGTTCATTAAACATACTTTGCATTATTTCAATCATTTTAAATTCATTTAGGCTTGTTTTGCAGAGTAGCATATTGTCAATTTTCAAGAAGTTTCCATGTACGCTTCAAAAAAATGTATATTCTGCTGTTGCATGGAATGTTCTATAGATGTCCATTAGGTCTCGTTAGTTTACAGTGCTACTAAAGTCTTCTATTTCCTTGTTGATTTTTTGCCTAGTTGTTCTATATCCATTATGGAGAGTTGGGTATGAATGTCTCCAACTGTTATTGTTGAATGGTATATTTCTTCCTTTAATTCTGTCAGGTTTTGCTTCATGTACTTTGCAGCTCTGTTTATTAAATGCATATATATTTGTAATTGTTTTATCTTCCAGATGAATTGATGCTTTTATCATTATAAAATGTTCCTCTCTATCTCTAATACATGTTTTCGTTTTAAAGTCTATTTTGCCTGATATCAGTAAGTTCACTGCAGCTTTCTTATAGTTGTTGTTTGTATGGTATATCTTTTCCATCCTTTTACTTTCAACCTATTTACATCTTTGAGTACTTTAGATTCAAGACACTTTAGGTAGCTCCTGTAGACAGCATTCACTTGAATCTTGTATCTTTATCCAGTCTGACAATTTCTGCCTCTTGATTGGATTGTGATCCAATCAAAATCCATTCATATTTAATGTTATTATTGATATAGGTGTTTACATCTGACATTTAACTTTTTTCACTATGTTCCATATATGACCTTTCTGTTCCACTATTCCTCCTTCCTGCTTTCCTTGGCATTAATTAAATATTGCCAAGTGTGACATTTTTGTTCCTTGAATGATTTTCCCTATATTTTAAAAATTCTTTTCTTAGTGGTTACTTTAGTGTTTTTATGTCTTAACTTAGAATCTATTTCAGATTTATACTAGCTTAATTCCAGTGAGAGACAGAAACATTACTCCTATATAGCTATATTCTTTCCCCCTTTTTTTGGTACTATTACTGTTAAGCATATTACACATATATAATATATGAGAAATCCAAAATCATATTGCAAAATTATTACTTTATATAATTTTATGTCTTTTAAAGAAGGTGAGAGAAAGAAGAAGCCATGGTTCAAATGCCAAAGACTCTCACTGTCCTTACAGATGTTAGGCAGATTTTCCTGAGTAAATTTTCTTGATCTGCTGTGTTCCCTCAGGACAACTTCCAGCGAGTCTGAATGATTTTTGTTGTTCTTTATCGTTTTCTTCGGTTATGCTTGTTTCGCAGAGCAACAGGCCCACATAGCAACTCATATTGCCATTCTGGATGTGGAACTCTGAAATGTATATACTTGTATTTCTCATTGCTTTTTGAGGGATGCTTCACATATGCAAAGAACAACTTTCACAAAGGTTTAAACGGCCTGTACAAGGGTGGGGAGACTTTTCTTTATATTTGCAATGTCACTGAACACAGGTGGACTATAAGTTTTGAGTTCGGTTGATTGGATGTGTTTGTTTATACCCTACTTCCTGCATCAGACAGGATGGGAGATGGTTTAACAGCTGCATACACCACGGCAAGAAGGATAAAAATTAATAGAGAAAGTAAAGCAAAGGGAAAGTAAGAATTGCTCAGAGGTATTTCCAATAATGGTGATGCCTTTTGCTAAGTTTTTTTTCTTTCTTGGCACTCAATGTAACCAGGAGCAGATGTGACTTTTTCAAGGTGTCTCGTCTCCATACAGGAAGTAAACTTGAGAATTTATCCCATGATTGAAACTCACAATCTGAATGAGCACCTGCTTTAGGTTCTTTGGGGCTGATTTCCCAATAGCACTTAACCTATGAGATCAGCTACTCACTGACACAGTTTATAAGCCATTTGCTTTAATGGAAATGTTCCTTCCGTCTTGTGCCAATATTTATAAATCTCCACACAGAAATTCACTACCTATCTTGTTCCTCAAAAATATTTCACTGAAATTTATCATTGCATTCGTCTTATAAGAATAAATAACTGAAGTTGAAATGTATATGAATAATTCATTTGGACTCATTTGCAAGATCTTGTTCATGGCTCTGAATATATAGAGATAGTTGATACATAGACTAGTAAATTCCCCTTCAGTCTGATTATTGTTGGTTCATAACACCAGTCCAATGTCTTCTACTTTTGTTTCAAATTCTATTGTTAAGTCATACATATTAAAATCCATCACAACTGTCATTGGGTCTTAAGACAGACAGTTTACTTGTAGCAAAATAAAGGTGATTACATCACCACTGGAATTTAAAACCTTAGAGTTGCTTTATTCAGTTGTGGTAAAATCTTCTGTCTACCAGTATTTATCCCATCCTTCTTCCTTGCTAACAAAACCCTGATTGTATTCAGGGTGGCAATCTGATCAGCCCCAGACAATGATTCATGATGGGTTTAGGCCAATTACGACAAGCTTTCATCTTTGCCACATACCTGTTTTCCCAGACTGCTTTGCAACCAGGGGTGGCTATTTGACCCAGATCTGGTCATGAGATGGTTTGAGGGAGCTGCTAGGGGGTCGTCCAGGAAATACTTGCCTTTGTTGTAAAAGGAAATCCCTTTTTTAATCAGGCTTTTTTTTCCTTTCTAAATTAAACGTACCTTTGCAAAGATATGATGTCGGTTCAGTGACAGCTATTTTGTGGGTACAAGCCTGCGGATAAAAAGCTGATACCCCGAGGACTGGAAGGATGAGTCTGCATCCTGATGACATTTTATGAACTTCTGCACCAAACCTGGACCCTCACCTTCAAACTTATTATGTGAGACAATTAAACCACTTTAGGGTTGAAGTCACTTTTAGTCAGACGTTCTGTTGCTTGGAACTTAAAGTATTCCTAACACAGTGTTCCTACTAGTGGTTAGTTAAAGTTGGATGGTGTACAGAGAATTTTACCATGAAGGCAGGAGAATTAGACCCTAACCCCATGTAGGGCAGTACTTAAAACAAAATTTGAGTGATTTACTCAGATAGTTGTGTCACTAACACTTTACAGAATACAGTACCCTGTATTTAGTAGTAATTGAAAACCCAAAGAGAGCAGTGTGATTGGGGGTTTTCCCCATTTGCATCTGAATAAAGGTGCTTGGGACTCCACAGGAGACCCCTGTCAGATTTGCAAGAACCCCCATCCTGAGTGGATCTCACCAAATATTTTTGCTTTTAGATGTCCTGCAAATTCCTACTCAGAGCTCCTCGTGAAGCATCTGCTAGCTCTTTCCTGGCTCTCAGGTCTCCTTGGAAATGGAGGGCTGCCTCGTATCCCACTGCATCCCCTCACCCTCCATCCCTGCCTTTACTGTGCCCTAGGCTAGGTGCACATTGAAGTAAGCAAGGACCTGGCTGTGGACTTCTTGTGAGGGGTCTTTGTACCACCATAGTTGAGTTGATACACCATTCCCTCCTGTTTGTAACCTAACGACCCACCTGACCAACCGACCCAGCATGGGAGGCTAACTCAATGCACATTTGTTACTGTTATAAAACAGTGAGTCTGTTCACTATTTCCTTTTCCTAAATGCATCTACTCTTATTTCAAAATATAAGAGCAGAGCCTCCAGAAGTTATTGGGGTCTTGCCTCCCCTCAGGTCAACACTAAATCCTTACTAAGCCAGATGGTAGTCTATTTTTATCCTATATGGCAAC